TAATATGATAATAATAATAATAATAATAATAATAAAGTTAGTTCTATTATGAAAATGTAACATAAAACCCTCCCTCTAGTTACGTAAGCCACAAGGAAGGCAGCAACATACGACTGAATGCCATGATGAATGCCTAAACTCCCGCCTGCACAGGACTACTGTGGAGAGGAAGAAAAAAAAGCGTGGTTCGGCGCGCGGTGGCGGCGAGCTGGCGTGCTGCGCGCCGGGCTGTTATCGCCAGGGGGCGTGGCCACGCCCTGGGCCCGCGCCGAAACCGCGCCCACTGCGCCGGCATTTGCCGGGCAGTGACGCACGCTGCGTTGGCCGCTGCGCCGCGCCGCTCGGGGGCTGCCGCGCCTCGCCCCGCTCCGCCACGCTCCGCCCCGCTCCAACGCCGGGAGGGCTGGAATATGGAGGCAAAATTGATTTGTTGCAGGTGATCTACAAATTGAAGCACTATATAATTATATAAGAAAGTTATCACAGGTAATACGAGTGTTTTGGAAATTGTCGATAAATTGCCGACTCGTGAAGCGAGGAGTGTGAATTTCCAAAGCAAGAATGGTATTTAATAGGACTATTCCACGAATGAAATTGTGTCCAACAGAGTTCCGAAATGCGTCAGATATTGAAAATAATTGAAAGCATGTCAAAATCAACGAGGTAATGTTACAGTATTATCCACGCAGGTTTTCTTGGGCCCTCGCTTCGCTAGTTCCGAGAGGAGTGGGGCTTATTTTGACGAAAAGAATTTTCCATCAAATTTGTTGTTCGTTTTTCGACGCTCAATAGTTTCTATGACACGGGAGCGAACATTCTGGCTATCAGATTTTGTTGCAGTGCAAACGAGCGTTGCGTTGCAAACGAGCGTTGCGTTGCAAACGAGCGTTGCGTTGCAAACGAGCGTTGCGTTGCAAACGAGCGATGCGTTGCAACGAGCGTTGCTACGAGCGTTGCTATAATTTATTCTTAATTCAACTAATGTTGGCAAAGAAGTGGGGGTAGGAATTCCGGGGCTCAAGAAAACTTGCGCATATAAAACATACGCGGTTTATTTGCACAACAACACAGCGATCGATACATGCCGCCTCCTAAGGTAGGCGTGTCGCAGCTTGTTATTGGCTAGAAGGGTGGGGCGGATAGAAGAAGCGATAATTTTTTTGAGATACACCGCCCTGATTGGGGTATTTTATACGTTTAGTTGAATACTGTTGGTTTTAATTTCACGGATTTTTCGGATCTGCGATCCGTGGAGTTTTTTTGTTGAGATTGCACTCTCACAACCTCGACCATCTATGCCGTCTTGAAATTGCATTTATAATTTTAATACTTTTAAGTTTTTAATTTTCCACATTAACAGCACAAGTAATGTGAATAAAGATGGAAACGTATTTTCTTTCAATAAATGTAAATCAGAATGACACTTGTAGTCGGCATGGTAATGTGAACATGTCTATGTTAATGTTGAGATTTTTGTTTCTATTGAGATGGTCGCAGATGGCAAGAAAAACATGTTAAAAATTGAGTTACAATCACTGGTTCAAACAATGTCTTCCAACATAATCCCGTAATAAATAGGCCGAATCTGAGGAAGTACATAGTCTGGTGTAGATTGAACAAAATTAAGCGCAAATTTCAGGACTAGAATCACAATTTGTCTTAACGGTTTTTATGTAGATGCAAAAGAAAGTTGAAAGTGCTTTTTGGCACCGTTTGTAAATTTAGCCATCCAGAAAATACACAATTCTTTCCATTACATCTGAAATTGACGGCATTATTTACAATTGTTAACAGTCAAAACTACAATTCCACTCCCGGTGCGGAATTAAGGTTTAATTATGACGCCATTGAAGTAATTCCTCATTCTGACTGTTCTGGCTCACTGTCCAGTCGGGCGTGGTGATAGCAAGGTAAAGCAGGGGGCAGGATGGGCGCAGAGCGGGAGCGCTGACACAGGGCTCCGTTAGGGGCGTCAAGACAGCATTGCAGCTCTCCTGATTATAGAGAAGCGTAGGTTGCTGCACACGAGAGAGAAGTAGAGCTTTGCAAGCCGGAGGAGATTTTGCGAGAGACGTTGTCGTGGCGAAGGATGTACGGTGGACTTCGGAATCAAAACCAGTCTGCAATATCTCTTAGCAGAACAGCAGCTTTTGGATAATTGCTTTAAGTTTTCTTGTGCAACGAACCGCTCACCGATAAAGCTTTCATTTTGTTTACGATAGTTGTAAGTGTAATGCCAAACAACGTAAAAGTTACGCTACTAAAATATTCTTTTACCGGTTTCTTTACCCGATTGTTTGCTTGTTTCGCTTCTGGACATACTATATGTAGCTTTCGATCATTCCATAGCTGTAAGTTACTACACTCATGTAAAACAGGGTCAGGATGATATTCTCACGCATTCCCGGGTTCCAGCACTCCCCGTCAGTCTAGACAGAACAAGAAGTGATGATTTTTTATACCGTCACGCAGCGGGTGTCGGTCTCTTCAACATCTGAGAACTGGAAGTAATGTCTTTTGGGTCAGTCGAATGGTCGACGAACTTTCCGTAGGCCACGTCTTAAAGCACTTCTATGGTCTTTGGTGGCTAAACTTGTCACTTCCTTACCTTAATTATTAAACTATATACCTAAGATGCACGTGCAAGCTAGTTTTGAAGCAAAAAAGTCCGTATTGTGTTGATCTTTGTGTCAATTGATTTCAGGGAGAATTTGTTTAACGAAACCATAAAGACCATGCTCTGATAAATACTTATTTAATTGTGCCACGGGTCTAACTCATGACATTTTGAAATATTGCACATACACTGATGAATTGGTCTTAACTATCGGAGCCGGTAAAAGGCAATTTTAATCACTGGATTGTTTAATGCATTTGAACTGCTACTAAAATAGCGGTTTGTGGTTTCTGCGATAAATGTGAGTGATTGCAATATCTGGTTGAGTTGCATTTCTTGATTCCGACAGTATGTTGAACTTCAAATACATACAAAGTTTTAATCTTGAATGTATAGAATTATTCATTTTCTGATACGTACTAATAGATAAAAGGGAAAGATTAATTTGAGAGCACACAAATTATACTGAGTACTTTTCTTTCTATTGGCATTTCATTCACCTTTGGAATGATAATGAAAACAAAAGAATCTATTTAAAGTTTAATGTCACCTGTGCCATGACTAAGTGTGCTGCTTTCTGCTGACAAACAGAACAAGTAGTCTCTATCACCATCGGGGTCATTAACAGCACGCCGTATTGAGTGTTTATGAATTTACAAGGTAGTTCATTGTTCTTCCTAATGTCGTCAGGTCATAAAACGTTGATGAAATTTGGAAACACAAAAACTAAAGTTCTAAAGGAAAGAAAATTGATAGCGAAATTCAATACTGGTGTGCTGGCGAAGTGATGTCATTATCTAATTAATTCGAGTCGATGTCTTTATCAATGTTTTTTATTTAATCGATAAAGATATTTTGGTAACGATTAGTCGATTTATTGACTTCTACAACGCCAGTCTTAAAATGGCCATGTGTTCGTTGCTTATCGGGAATCGTTCATCGGATTCAACTGGCAGCAGCAGCGCACCGATGCGACGAACATGATTTGCGGGGATTTATAATCTTGCGAACACTGTCTCCCTCACGGCCCGCCATCACAAACTCAAAACACTGTCTAGCCCGTGGTGGCAAGATAGCCTATGACGCGTCATTGCAAACGGTGCCAGTGACTTGAATTGAAAGTGATTTGTGTTATCGGTAACAGTATGATACTTTGTTAGTAGCTAGTTTCGGTGAGGATTTTCGAAGATTTTTAAGGTCAGTTGGGTTTTAGTAACTACGAATTTTTTAGTCTAGATTTGCAATCTAATATCAAAAATGGTAAAATTTTATTTTAAAAAATGCCCAAAATGACGAGCGACTGAAGATATGAGTGTAATGAAACCTAACGACACTGCAATCTATCGAACTCTGTAGCGGACATTTTGGCATTCTCATACTGCACTCTGTAGGTTGTAATGCATTTGTACTTCTGTCTAGCGGACATTCTCTGTAACCGCAAGGGCCCTTGCACTATTGGAGCGCTTCTAATTAATTTTCAAGAATTTTACGGAACATTTTATGGCCAAGTTTTCTTTTTTTCTTTCTTTTTTTCCGTAAAGAGTTGAGTGCACCATGACGTTTGGCTATAAACACTTGTCTGTTAGCTTGATAATGCACTATAGTGTACTTCGTCCCTAAATTCATACATTTTCTAAAATGGTTGACAATTGTTCTTGCTTGACGATTCTAGGCGACACGCATAAATTTCCAACGCATAAATTCTCGTTCCCCATGGCTCGCCCTTATGGAAAGTCCTAATACGAATATCACTTCTTTTTATTCCGTACATTTTTCTTCTAGAGAGTAAATATGCGTACTTCAATAACACTTGTACTCTTTCGTGTAAAATATATTGCTTTTCCACTTAGTTTACATTCATGTGCCCTGATCTCTTTTTGTCGTGATATGCATAACAATTCAAGAGGACGATTCAGTAGCATTTTGATAGGTGTAGCTGAAATATTTTTTAGGTAAGGATGTAAAGTGGATTGTCTCATTGATACTCTAAACCCACAATAGCTGCTGATAAAATATACAATCATATGCAAATTAATCCATATTTAGAAGTGGGTCTTCAGAGACCACTAGCATGATTTGACTTGAAAGGTCTGATTTGAAAGTCCTGCGGATAAAATATTTAAGTCCTCTCACGTATCAAAAAGGGAGCACAACACAATTTGCGCAAATAATGAATGACATTTGCCGTCCTAAGTAAAGCAATGATGAATCTGTGTTGTTAAATGGATCAAGAATTCTCGATAAAGTCCCTCTTTTCAGCGGGCACCTGATATGCGGCTAGCGGCGAGCAACATTTCGTAGATTGACGTTGCTTCGGGGGTCACGTCGAGCGATTTTGAACTATTATAGTACGAAGCGGAAAAGTGGTGATTACTGTTGATTTAATATCTGTCTACAACGGGACGCATTGTCAGATGCGTTTGGAAAATGATATCCAGAGTCTGTTATCCCTCAGAGATGTTACATTTTGTTTCAGGTAACAACAGATAATTTTAATAAATATCTCTTAATAAAACAACAACTCGTTCGTTTCTCCCATTTCACAGCATTCGTATGGTTTGCTAACTCTTACTTATCTTCTGTGGGAATCTGTTACAGACTCACGGAGCTCGCTGTGTGCACGAATATGATCTAAAGGTCACATGCTAACTCCTTTGACAGACTGCCCTACTGTGAAATGTCTGCAGGATTTGGATTGGATCGTCTAGTGTAGTTTGCTTGTTTATTTCGCCGAACACAAAAGTGAGTTTCTCGATTAAGACAATGAGTGACAAGTCAAGAGTGTGTTTTGGTATTATCCAAGATGAAACCAAATTCAAATTAAGGTATTAAATGTCATTTTTCAATTTTATTTTGTCATTTATAGTAATTAAACGTGTTAAAGACAACATACTTCATTTCATAGCAATTATCACGTTTAGATTTGATTTACTCTTCCAGTAATCTCATATCCTTTATTAAGTGGCCACCTCAATTAACAGCCAAATTTGTCAGAACCATCCCGCTTAAGACAAGTTTCACTGATTTTATATAACCAAATTAAAAATATTGTACAATATTATTTTGAGTAAAATTTAGTATTCTAATCAAAATTTAATTTTGTCTCTCTAGATACATTTTGTACGTTTATACATTTTTTCTTCGAATTTCTATGGGGAAAGGGGGAAATAAGTGCCCAAGCTTGTGTACGTCCACACTGAAAGGTGAAGTTTGTGTCTCTTGGGAAGTCACTTCCAATCCTTTCAGTTTTTCTCTTCTTTACCTTTCTGATCTCAAGACAGTCAATGTCAATGTAAGACCTCTCACAGTGTTCCCCTCACGTGTAATTCGCATTCCAAATGTACACAGTTTAAAAGCTTTCTCGATACAAAAAAAGGGAATTCCGTTACACCGTTGAAAGCCAAAACAGAGTCTCTATAGCATTCATAGATTCTATCTCTAAGGATTTCTCTGGGTCAGGCATGTCTCTTCATAGAGAATTTGCAAGTTGGCATGTTACACGATTGCACACTTCCTTCGTAATGGAGGAAAAGATACATTGTTGCGAAGGAGCTCATAAACTATTGTCCGGTCGTTGACCGACAGTTTGAATTTTTGTGCATTTGTGAGCGATATAATACAGTAGTACATTTATTAAGATCTGAAATGAAAACAGAGTTAATTGCTTGTGAAAAATGAAAAGTTACGTTTATTTTCATAGTATTCTCAATTCTCCTGTTTCTTCAAGATCTTGTCTTCTTTTTCTTCCAAGAAATTAATGATCAACGAAGTGCCATTCTGATATATTTTTGATTGTATCTTGAACCCACATTTAACGAATATCTTAAGTAATGGAATTTGTCAAAAATAATTGTAATTTGTATACTCGTCTTCGCTTCACGGACCAGTTCACAAGTCAGAAAGAACGGACATCAATGTGCTAGAAATAAGTTTGCAATCAATAGTTGTATTGTGTGTATTGCAAAAATGGCTCTAAATTTAATCGTTTAAAGTTACACTTTTGATAAAAAAATTACTTATAAATATTACGTTCAGACAGAAATCTAGTATGTAATTACAAAACTCGAAGCAGAGACGAACACGATCCTCAAGGTTTCAGTTCGTATTAACAATGCCACAATTCTACCGAGCACTCCGCGTTCCGACCATGGGGAATTGAATTGAAGCCGACGTTGTGGGATCCACCTTCCTTTGTTTTTTGCATTTGTCTGCGAAGTCGCGGCCAGCCCTCCCGCGCGGCGACGAACCTTGGCCTTGGCGGTGCGGAGCGGCTGGCGTGGCGTGGAGCGGAGCGGCGTGAGACCGAGTGCTCAGGCGCACCGCCGCCCCCTCCACCGTCCCCCCTCCACCGCTCCGCTGCCCCCACCCGCGCCTCGCCACCGCACCGTGCCGATCTCTCCCCACCATCGCTCCTTCTGTCGGCACAACCGGTGCTCGAGGAACGGCGGTGGCGGCAGCGCGGAAATCCGCACGCGGTCCCGCTGCGTCTGCTCGGAGGAAGCAATAAACAAGCGACGGCGCTCTGGGATGCTCTGCTGCTCCACGGCCAAGTTCAGGTCTTTCTGAACTTGAACTTCCAAGATGGCTCGAAGCTGACGAGAATTTTAGGCACGAATATCCGTGGTCCGTATTACCTGCTCGAAATTCTAGGTCCGTTTGACGTGCTTAATTAAAATTTGTTTTTTGAGAAGCGTCTGCATTCACTAAAATTTTCCGGCGCAATTTTGTATGCAGGCCGACCAAAACAAAAGAATCTAAATGGGAATCTGCAAGAAAGTTTTCGAAATTTTATTTGTTTTGGGAGACATTACGAGGCATCCCTCTCGGGTCGATTAAAAAGACATGAGTGCTAATTAATGATTATCCACCGTCATCTAATGTAGATGTGAAAAACATTAATTCAGTTTTAATGTTTACAAAAATGTGTTCTTGTAATATTAATTACGTCCAATAAGTGTGATATTTGATTAATCTTTTTCTACTCCAATTGCATTAGAAAGTTATAGCTCGATTTCTAATAATGTTTATTATATTAACTGATCCATTACAGTTCATGACATCAACCAATCACCATCTAAGTTTACAAAGTTAGCTTTGATCATTGGTCATCGTTCTATTAAGTGTTTTGATTCTTTTGCAATATGGAGGGATGTGGCGCTAAACCTCGCATGTCCTTTCCAACAGATTAATGTACTGAAGACCTTGAAAAAGGTTTGTTTCAGAAATGAAGCTGTGAAAATTAAGAATACATACTAAAGTTTTATGACAATTGTTCAAAGAGAGACCCACAGGTCAAGTTTGGTTCCAATTTATTAAATTATTGAATTAATTGGATCCAAAATACACCCGTGTGCCACTCGTTTGCAGTCGGACCGTACTTAACCAGTGCCACCTGGGACACTTAGAAAGTGACTGTTCCTTTACAGAGGCGCGTCCAGAAAATATTTGGAGGGATTTCAGTTCGGGCTCCCCATAAATATTTTTGAATTTCTTTTTTCCTAATTGTTTGCCTACAAAAAATGTACATATAGGTTTATATTCGTAAAGAGAATATTGTTTTGGGTGTGATGCGATCTATAATTTGTACGGTAATTGAATAAATTGAGTAAATTTACCAAAAAAATGTTTACTTGGAAGTGTCCATTGCTCTCATGTCCCTCTTCCCTGAATCCGCAACTGTCCCTCAGTGGCTTTGCTAAACCTGCCAGCCAGCATTCATGTAAGGGTTTGTTGTAAATGTTCAATTTTTATTAGAAAGATTTCATTAGTAATAGAAGATGATTTGAAACTCGCTTCAATGCGTATTGGTACACTGGAAACTTATTTACGACAGTTACTTGTGGCGAAATCCGTTTCAAACTCGTTTATTAATACCTAACATGACAACATCGTTTCATAATATAAAAACTTCGAAAATATATTAAGCACATATATTATTTTACTAAGAAGTTGGTAAAATAAAAAAAAAAACTAAACCTCTTGACTTAAAGTGTTTCGTTTGAAAAATGCCGATTCTAGTCAGTAGACGATACTAGTAGCCTGACATTATTCTACTCCTAAAATAAATGTTCTGTGTTGCTGTATTTATTTTGTGATTGAATAAGATTATTTATTGTCTAATTTTTTAAAAATGTACTGGACATTTATTTGAAGTAGATTCAGTTTACTCGCCCAGATGCCTTCGGTTTTATCATTACGTATATTCTTAATAAAATTAAATTGTTATTCGAACAAATCAGTATTAATCCAAAGGAACGAAGGCAAGTGGAAAATCCTTCAAAACAGGGAAGAGGGGGAGAGATGAGAATGGTTTTGTACGGGCCCGGAAGAAATTGATGGAAAGTGGCTTCAATATGCAAATACCTTTAGTACAATTGGAGAACGTAAAACTAATGAAATGCACGAGGTTGATGTGGGAACGAGGAATAGACAATTAATTGAGGATTTGAAGGTTGGAAACTCTCATTGATCGAAATAAACAAAAACGTGTTGTGTCTCTTTCGAAACAACAACGCAACATTTCTTTGATGTAGTATATATAATTGAACATCTTTTGCGCAGGATTAAGGCTGTTCCTAGACTGTAAAAAAAATGTTTTGAGGTGATAAGTTGCACCAGAAAAAAGGCGTGGTTGTAGTCAACATTATTGTTTATTATGTTACCAATAGCTTTCGATACGACTACCCAGTAGCCTGGCTTCCCAACAAGAGATAACTGATGATAATGGCTTAGCCATCTCATATTTAGAATGCCATCAACACCTCACGAATAAACCAATTTTCTAAAACCTGATAAGATGTAGTTTCACAGTTTTTCTCCAGTAATTTTCGTCAAAAATATTCAAATTTCCGAACTGGATTGTTGTTGTCTGCAGTCTGGTTACCATTACTGACATTTTAAGTAATTCCTACGGAATCGTAGTAGTAGCCGGAAGGAGCAGTGAAGGTGGTTTGACGGGTAATGCCCAATATCTTGATACTAAATGCAAGTTATATTGGATTTTCAGTACTGATTTCCGTCTGTGCACATCTTCTAGCGAACTCATTGTCAGTTCTAAACAGTCTATTTCAAATATCTGGTGGGATTAGTACAATTAGATAACTTCTTAATTAATCCTTTTTTATCATTGTCAATCCACACAGCTCTTTCCTCTTTGTCATCATTTACCAAGTAATTACGACTTCATTGCATAGTTTTTCCGTTATGACCTTTTAATAATTCCAGCGAGTGCGAATTATTGTGGAAGAAGTTGCCAGAAGTTTATCGAACATATCATATCCGTTCATCAAACAATATGTAAATTCAATTACGAATACACGTTTTTCGGGCTGCTAGGTGTATCTGTCACTGACGTTGCGATTCCAATGCCTGCTTTCCCACGTCTATCTACATTTAAAGACGGACGTTCTTGACTATTGCTGTGATTGACACAGACTGACATTTATCCGGATAATTTATTATATTTTCATTTTATGTCTTCATCCACATGTACTTCAAGTCGTGCTATGAATTTCTTTGACTTTTTTTTACCGTCGATTAAATAAAATCTATCCGCTGCATGGAAATTTTTTTAAATAAAATCATTCTGCTAAGATTTTCTTGTGTGAGAGTATCTCGTTGCGTTGACTGTTAACGGTATCCGTTGCACCTTCATGCATCTTAATGAAAAACTGGACTGGATGACCTCTAAATTTCTGACAGGAGCGTGCGTGAATGCAAGGAAAACGCTAGACGTAATAACATCTGTTCTCTTTATATGCATTATTTAACGATGTTTTCTTCATAATCATTGTTTAAAGACAATAACCCATTTTTACAAAAAAACGTGAGAAAGCACCTACAGAATATGCATTTATTTTCCCTCTCTCTGAGCGGTCATACGGAATGAAATGAACATGTTTTATAAAGAAAAGCCAGCATACCGGACATTCCTGCACTGTTCTCCAGCATTTCTTAACTTGCTCAAATACGTACTAGAAGAGTTAAAGCTTCTTAGATCGTTGTCCTTTTAATGTTTGTGACGTTGAGATTCGTAAGGTTTATCAGACTGCTTGGAATCATCCCATATTTGTATGATTACATGAATACAGTTTGCAACTGCTTTTGGTTTCGCAATGTAGCCACGTGACGGGAAGCAAATGCCATTAGTCTGCCCTTACAGAGAACACCAACTAGGAGGACGCCCATTTAAGGAAAGTTAAATTCCCCTCTACTAACGATGGGAAAGAGAGACCCGAGAAAGAATATTTGTTCCCTTGATGTATTTTTGAATTTTTTGTTGGATTTGGAAAAGTACGGAGGACAGAAGATGCATTTCATTTAAAAATCAGTTAAGTTTAGAAGATGTGAGATAACCGCAACGTATTTTGATCATTGGAAAGAGCTTGAATGTCTGTTATGCCAAGTCCAAAGTTGTTGTCCTAAGAAATTGAAACAAGATGAGAGACGAACTACTAAAGTTAGGCACGTTAACTTGACAGCTAATTGAGGAAGAGGTTCATTAGCATAAGCAATTATATGAGTGTATTATAAATTTTACTGATTAAAAGGTCCAACATCATTGAATATATCTATGTAATCTGCACCAAAGAGTGCACTTCAGTGACACAATAATCATAGCAGTGTTTAATCAGAGAAACAGTCTCATCCCGTCTAATAAGGTTACCTTATTAAGGAACAATACATTTGTGACAATTCGGTACATTCTGAACTGGTCTTACGTTCGACAATTTAGAGATGTCCCTTAAATAATGCAACAAAGTGTTATGTAGACTCTTATCGTTAATTGAGGAAGTTTGTTGCAATCGGTTTTCCATTGAAGCATTCGCCTCCGAGAAGACTAGCTTTTTTATACACAACGCAAACTGTCTGATCTGCTCGAGCCACGTGCTGCAATGGCGCTGCGTGAGGGGAAGAGTGGATGAGGTCAGTTTTTTAACATTTTTTATTCATTTTCTTTGCGATTGTTCAATACAAACGTTAGTGTATTAAACATTCTACATTTGTTATGATTGCTTAGTTCTACTTAGAATTAACTTACAATAATCTTACTATTAGGGTGGTACAGGCAGCGTTACATGATACCTTTTCTTTGGACTGCAATTTGAGAATATGTTTAGGAGTGTGTGAGACGGGTATTTACTCATAATACAGTTTTGTGTATTGGATTTTGGCAAAGTCTTAGAGGGGTTAATTTGTCATGTTTGAGAAGAAATGGGTGGAAAAATCTTCTGGCAGCGGTGGGATTCGAACCCACGCCTCCGAAGAGACTGGTGCATAAAACCAGCGGCTTAAACAGCTCGGCCACGCTACCACGGGTACGTGTACCGACTGCATCCTATGGTCAACTTTTCCTTAACGGTTATCTACCTACCCAAAAAGTCATAGCCCGACTGTATCCCGTTGTTTTTCTCCTTAATATGAATATTTATTTCGACGTTTCTCATGTTCTGCTTAGAATCATATTGATCGATTATAATTTATTGACTTCTGTTCGTTTTCGACAAACATTTGCAAGTCGTTTTAGAACACTGCCAACGTTGGAAACCACCACTTAATCGTTTGTG